TAGCCATAAAAAATGTAATACCAGTTCACACCTTTGTTATTATGTATTATGAAGGTGAGAAACATCAAATGTCGGACATGACATCCTCTCCAAATTGCACACGACAAGCGTCAAATTCGTAAAGCTTTGAATGCAAGTACACGTAGAGCGCTGAATGCTGCTTGCTGCTGTGTTGGTTTTCCACGCGATGAAGCCAGAAAGGCGTTAGGTTCTAGCTTTTTCAAAGAGGTCACTTTATTTCTCTGCAACCCCAACATTAAAATTGAAAAAGATGACATCTATCAGGAAATGACAATTTTAAAATACACTAAAAGAATTCTAAGAAATGCAATATTCCCCACCGCAATATATAAATGTGGATCATGGACCACTAATGAACAAGCTTTAAAAAAGGATTACAGTTTTCGAAATGACAAGCTTTAGAAAAACTTAAAATATATATCCTGGACACAAAACAATAATGAATGAAAAAGTGCTGAGAAAAATAAGTATAGTATATATAAATATCAACCCTCCCCCACAACGGAATGAAACTGAAACTGAATTTATTTGGGCATATCAAACTAGAGAAACATAGCCTAATAATATTCTGGAACCGAAGGTTGAAGGCAAGAGTTAAAGCGAGGGGGGGGGGGGGTAACAAGATGGGAACAGGACATACAAACCTAGCTTGGCACCAAAACAACACAGGCTGGCAGATTGGTAAGAAAGTGTTTTGTTGCAGACAGGTTAGAGAAGCAACGACCAACTAGATCTACTGGAAAAGCTAACAAGATAAGGAAGCTCTGTTTCCAGTTTCTTGAACTGCTTGTTGCTTTCAGGTAAGGCTTTCTTATTATCGTGTACAGCGAAGACGTCAGGGTGAAATTAGACAAAGGCAGGGCCGTATTGGTAGAATACTGCAATATAGAGTACTTCATCTCCTCTTCCTCTTCTGCTTCTTCTTCTTCTCCGGGGCCGTAATGATGATGATTTGTACATGTGTGTCCACAGAGACCATCAACAACCTGAGAGAAGAAAACTTCCTCCTCCGTCAGCGAACTGTCTGTAAAATCTGTAAAGACAAGGAAGTGTGTTTTGTTTTTCTACCCTGCGGTCACTTGGTCAGCTGTGCTGAGTGTGCCCGGACTACGGAGACTTGCCCGGTGTGCCGACAAGATGTCCTCGATTGTGTGCAAGCGAATTATAAAGTATGAAGTATGATAAAGTGGGAAGGTAAGATGTGCACTATAGCACTAGCTAACACTACCTCAATCAAAAACTCTAAGTTATAAGCTCGCCTTTGTTCACTTTTCACGTACTTTTTTATGCTTTTGCTGCTCTTCGGTTGGCATACACCGTGCCCTCCGCACAGTTCAAAAACTCTATACTATAAGTTATAAGCATGCTTTTGTTCACGTTACATGAACATGCACTTTTATGCTTTTGTTGTCCTTCGTCGGTCAGCACGACGTGTCCTCCGCACGATTCCAAAACTCTATTTATAAGCATGATGTTTATGTTCACGTAACTGCTATGCTATTGTTGCCTATGTTTCTTGTATATATTTTAACTTTTAAGGAGGCCTCTGAGTCTGTTACTACGAAATAAAGTGGAAACTTAAAGTGTTGTACAGGCTATAGATCTAAAGGTTATTTCAACGCCGTCAGTGTCCTAATGCAGCAGTTTCAGCCTGGCCCACGAGTCGACCCTTTAATCAATTATGAAAGTGGCTCGATATGGGTTTATATTAGCTATTTAATTTAAAACAAAATGTTTCCCTCTTGAACAGTAAAATCAACAGTGTCTTTTCTTTTTATTTTCTTTCCCCCAGATTATCTAGATTGTTGTTGTTATGATTTAGATCTATAGGCTACTGAAGTATATTGTCGTTGAGCACAGGAACAAACAGGTGAACTAAATGAGAAAGACACAGAACTGGGAAAACGAAACTTTTTCAATATTAAATTTCAAGAATTCCCGCATGTAGCCCCAATAAGAACACTTCCTTAAGATAAGCGTTTTGAGGCACTTCCCATGTATCCGAATTTTTGGGATTACCTCAGTTTCAATTCAGTGATGGAATTTACAGACCTATGTGATATCTTTTAAAAAAAACTTTAGTCGTATTCCCAGTCGCTCCTTGTGATATGAGAAAATATTAAGAATTTTATTAATGATATATATGATATGTCTTTACAATTATAAACCAGCCAGCTACATTCCTTTACAAAACATGCTTACTGTCAGTGACCTGTCTCTCATACGAAGCGACAGTTTGGTGCTGATGGCGAAGGTAAATTGGTGATGCAGATTAGGTTGTCAAGTTTCAAAGCAGAATTAAATTAGATCTAAATGTTCAAAATCCATTGGCCCGCGTCCTGTTCATGCCCGTTCATTTTCTAGTCAACTGTTTTCAGGTCCCCGAAATTCTTCTTCTTCTGAAATCACCAAGATAAAAAAAGTGAGACTTCAATGATTCTTTATCCTTTGATTTCTCTTGTTGCTGATTTTGGCACAAAACTCTGATTGTGGACATACTCTCCTTCTATGTGGAGGAGGAAAATAAAAATCAGCAGCACAGTAGGCATTGGCTATAAATGATTAACAGACCCGCAGGGACCGACGTGATTTCCTTGCCTTGTGTTATAAACGAATCCTGTTGTTGTAGACGGGTTTGTCAAGTTAACATAGGCTACACACTAACTTGTAACTAAGGATTAAAGAACATGATCGTTTTTATAACAAAGATATCTCTATAAACCACTGCCATTGATCAGGTATTGATCTTTTCTTTTTCAGTGATATTTTTTTTCTTCTCGGTTTTATCTTTCTTTTTCGAGATGTTCTTGTCTCATGGAGGCTGACTACACATTTATTTTCAGCTGTACTGGTAATTGTAACGGTAACTGCATTTTGAAAATCAAGGTCACATAACGTTTGTACGCTCGTTATAACCATGCCCTACAGCATTTAGATCTATTCCCGTGCCCGGAGCACCCGCCAACCACCCACATCATATCAATGAATTTGTGTGTTAGAAGTTAGAGTAAGGAGAAGAAGTCTTTGACACAGTAACAACCACTTTAGTACACATACAGGGATAGAGAAAAGACAGTCAGAAACAACGGAGGGGAAGAGAAGTAGCAGGATCTACCAGGGTCACCCTCCAACCAACCACACACAGAACCAGACTTTTGAATAACATACACAACATGAACAAGAAAGTCTCTCACACACCACCAATATGTAACAAACTAAAACACTCAACTCACATTCATCTCTCTTTATTTTCATAGTCCCTTGGTAAGCCAATATACAACAACAAACATAGAAACATGTACATATCAATGGCATCGGGCACAAATTGGACAACTTCAACGTTTTCTGAAACCTGATTTTCTTGCTGCTTTTTTGTGAAGTAGATCAAATACATCATCTCTATAAATGGTGTAAAAGTTCAATAAAGACATTTAAAAATGCATGACACGTTGACATGAAATTAGTACAACAGAAGTGGTCTTTGATGGGTTTAAAATAACTTTTAAGCTTCTCCCTAGGAGATGACCATTCTGTGCCCGGCGCTATGATATGATTATAATAATGTTGTCAGGTTATATTCTCGACATGTTAAAACCCTTTTCTTCTAAACATATCTAAAAAAGAATCCCAACAGAAGTCAAACCTCATTATACCCTCTGCTGTGACACCAACAATTTTACTGCCCTACAGAAAAACAACAATACGTAGTGTACACAAAATACCTTTACAACACCACCATCTTCTTTTGTACTCTGTAAGAAGAGCCTTCACGCTGAATGTGTCGAAAGAGCCGTAAAACATACATGTATAATTATACTCAAACAAACATCAGGGAGCTCAAGCGTTTCCTCACAATTCTTGTAACTAAACTTTAATAAACACAATGGTGGTGCACACAATGGTGGTGCACACAATGGTTTTGCTTGCACAAACAGGAGAAAAGGATTTCCCTTAACGACACTGCCCGGAGAAACTATGACATCAATTTTTATTAATTCCATGGTGTCTGACATCCTCAAACGACTTCCCACTTCAACTTGAACAAGCAGACAAGGCCTTAGAACACTGTAAGAGGCTAGTTACAGACTTCGATAGCTGACTGCTACAAAGTATACTTGGTTGAAGAAGTTTGGGCAAGGAGAAAAGCACCCACAAAAAAACAGTCATTTAGTGCTGGAAATAAAATATAATCAAGAGACTGCGCGAAAAGAAAAGTAGGACCTACAAGTGGACCTACCAGCAAGTTAAAGAAGACCCCTTGATAACAGAGCCAACCTCACTACGACAGTAGCAGTAGTAATTCCATCAGGGTCCCAGAGACAGCGGTGCAAAGAGGTTCGACTGTACCATGCAGATGAGTAAGTAGCAAAATGGAGAGAACAACAACAATATCAGGGACACAACAATCAAGATGGCATGTATCTACAGAGCACACAAAGTGCACGATATCCCAACTCCCAAAAGCTACGAAACCCTACACCCCTCCCCCTTTTTTTTTCCACCCAACCAGCTATGTGTACTTGAACAACCCCAAACAAGACTCCCTTAGGAGGACAATAAGCAACCCCCCC